CCGCCTCGGAGGGCTGGGGCAGGAAGACGACAGGGAGACCCTCGTCCTCCCCACGAGGCCACTGTCACCTTCCCTCTTCTCCGGCCTCCAGTGGCCAGCTTCACTCTCCACGGGGAAGGAGAAGCCGCCAAGTGAGGCTGAGCTGGGCCTTCCACAGGCAGGAGCCCCCAAAGAGGGCCCTGGCCGTCCCGGCCTGCACCCCACTCTCCCCGGCCTCTCTGTCCCCGTCACCTTTGCTGCTCCTTGCTGGGTGCTCCTCATGGGCACACGGCGTGCTGGGCGTCTCCTCCACCCACAGGAAAGGGGCCCAGTTAGCTGAACCCTTCTTCTGGTGTCCTTCAGAGCAAGGTTCTAGGATGCTGTCCCCAGCATGACCAGCTGGTGGCTGTCCCGCTGGATGTCACCTCCAGCACCCCGCCCCACAGCCACTTCTCTCCTCTGCCTCGGCCTCTGAGCATGTGTGACGAGCCCGGGCCCCTCCCCACCCCGGGTGCTGGCGGCCCCCTCCCCTGGCCCCACCCCTGCCTGTTCCCCACCAGCAGCACCTGGGCCGCCCCCACCCCCAGCTCTGAACACTGTGACCCAGGGCCGGGCCTGGGCTCTCCCTGTCCAGCCCTCCTGGCCGTCTGGCCCTTCTCCAGGCTTTAGATCCAGCCCCCATGCTGACGGCTGCCGTGTCACCTCCCCACTGCCCCCTCCGCCCCTGCACCTGGATCCAGCAAACTCTGAACAAGCGGCCAGAGCTCCTGAGCCCCTGCCCAGCCTGGCCGTCCTCTGCAGTGTCCAAGGCACCTGGTCACCCTCCCCTTCTCAGCTTCACCCACATCTGGAGGGGCACTGAGAAGGGCTCCTCCCGGTTCACAGCAAAGGCTTCCTCTGACCACAGGTGGCCTGTCCAACCTCATCCCGCCCCCTGTCCCCGCCCGTGTCTGCCCTGGGCCTCCATGCCTGGTCCTGGGACAGGGTGCTGCCGCCCACACCCACGGGCAGGCGTCCTCCTCAGTGGACTGCAGCTCCTCCTCACTCAAGCGTGGCTCTTCGTGGCCAGTGGTGTGCTGGACCCTGGCACCCACAGGGGGACGGGAGGAGGGCGCACCCCCACACTCCAGGCTCAGCCGAAAAGGCCCTTCATCCTCTGGGCAGATTCCCCACCTGTGGCCTCCTGGTGCTGGACCCCATGACCCCACCAGTGTCCTTGCCCAGGCTGAGCTCTGCCACCTCCTCTCCACAGACGGTCCAAGCTCAGGTCCAGGTCCAACCCGAGTGAGCTCCACAAATGAGCGCCTCTGTCCTTCAGGACAGATGTGGATCACAGTGAGCCGTGGGCTGGTCAGAGAGCCAGCAACAGGACGGCCTCCGGGGAGAAGGGGCTCCCCGGGGAAGGAGGGAAACACTCGGATTCCAGACGGAAGGATCATTTAAAAATCCTGTCCTGCCCCCGAAGTGTTGGGACGGGAAACTCCAAACGGACCGACCGTGAGGCCGCAGGCTGCTGGCAGTTAGGCAAACTGCGGAGCCATTTCCTGGCTGGAAACCCTTGAGCCTCCTCGGAGCTGTCCTGGAGGGAGCGTGTGGGAGCAGCAGGGAGGGGCGGGGTCCCCCCTTCCCAGCACGGCCCTCCCTGGGGGCCCACGGAGAGTCCCTGGGTAAGGGGGGAGCCACAAATAATCCTCCCCCTGGGCAGAGGCAGGGACTAGGTGAGGGACCTGGGGTGGCCCGGAGTGGCCTCTTCAGGTGTGCGGTGCAGTGGGAAGAGCCCCCGAGGTGGCTTTGCTGAGGCCAGGCAGAGTGGGGAGGAGGAGGGGCCTGGGGTGTCCCTCACCCAACCCCCAAGCCTCCCGGCTGAGCAGGCCGAGCCCTGGCCAAGGCCCATTCCCTCACTGAGGCCGGACATGAGTTTGCAAAGAACCGGCTGACGGAGGACTCGGGCCTGAGGAGGCTGATGCAGGTCGTGGCCTGCAGAACCAAGGACCAGCCTCGGCCCTGACGGGAGTGACAGTGACCAGAGGTCGCCTCTGCTCGCAGAGCTGGATTTTCCTAACTGGACACTGGCCAGTACTGGTAACAGCGCCGTGGAACAGACCAGCCTGCAGCCGGCCGCGGGGTGGGGGCCGCCCCTCGTTTAGCACAGCCTTGCTGGGGACAGGAGCCCAGGAGCCCAGGGCTGTGTCCAGTGGCAGCTGTGACACAGTGCCCTGAATGGAGTGGCTTAGAAATGACCCAAAGTCCCTCTCTTACAGTCTGGAGGTCAGAAGTCCCAAGTCCGTCTCACTGCGCTACGGTCAGGGGGCAGCAGTGCGGCACCTTCTGGGGACTCATCTCCCGGCCTCTCTCAACATCTTCAGACTTCTGCTCCTTCCTGCCCCGGGCTTCGGAGTGTCCCCTCTAAAAGTCCAGTCTACCTGGACCTGAGCGTGCGACCTTATTTGGAAACAGGGTTTCGGCAGAGGTCATGGAGTTCACGCGGGACCGCACTGCGTTCCCAGGTCCTGAGCCGTAGCTGGTGTCCTCCTGGGAAGGGGATTTGGACACCCTGGAGGGAAGAGCCAAGACGTGGCTGAGCCTGGGAACGCTGGGGCCACCAGCAGTGGTTACTGGCAGAGGGACCCCCCAGGGGCTCTGGAGGAAGTGCAGCCTGCCCACGTCATGGTTTTGGGCTTTGGGCCCCCAGCACTGGGAGAGGACGCGGTTTGTTTTAGGTCACCCCGTTGGCTGTGCTTGGACACCAGCGCTTGGCCCCCGGTCCCCTCGTCCTCCACAAGGCATGTCCCTCCGCTCAGCTTCTGTAAGCACAGGGCCTCTCCTGACCCAGCGCCTCCCCAGCCTTTACAGGGACGTGGGACTGCAGCTTGCCCCGCCTGGGTCCGCCCTCCCCGCCCCTGTCCCTCAGCACCCGGGCTCTGGGCAGGAGCACGGGAGCCCTTCATTCTGTGGTGTGGGCTTCACTCATCTTCCTGTCCCTGCCACCAGGGCCTGGGTGATGGGGACAGCAGTGAGGAGGGGGCCGCTGGCCTCCATGGAACACGTGTCCAGTCGCGTGCCTGCTTCCTGGCACACAGCTCCCAGGTCCCCTTGGGGCGATGAGTGTGGCCGTGTGCTAATGAAGCGAAGGTGAGCTTCAGGACAGGGAGGGTCCAGGGGACCAAGGCAGGACTCCCTGCCCCCCACCCTGGGGAGGGAAGGGGCTGAGGGTGGGTTGGCCTGGCCTGTGTCCAGTCATCCTACCTGGGGGAGCCTCCAGCAGCCCCGAGGACTGGGGGCCCGGGAGGGACAGGGGGAAGTGCTAAGAGGGCTCCCCCGGGCCCTGCTCGTGGGTAACATTCTTGTTTTTTTTTTAAGGAAAATGGAAAGCAGCTTATGTGGAGGGGAGGCTTGACATTATAAAGTACAGTGCCATATTATTTTTATCAGAGAATCGTCTGTGACATTCTTTGTCACAAACCAGCCAGTGCGCAGAGCGCTCCTCTGAATCCGGTGAGCCACTCCAGCAAATCAGTGGACATGGGCTGGGTGAAGGTGCCCCCTCCAAAACTGACGTCCACCGGAACCTGAGAAGGTGGCCCACATCAGGCCACAACCTGGGTCTTTTGAGTGAGGTCCCAAGTTGGGCAGTTTGGGGGATCAAGCCCCTAGCCTGTGAGATCCCGTGCTACCCCAGGGAAGTAGCTCGGGTGGAACCTGAGGTGGTCAGCTGGGGTCCCCTGGAGCGGAAGGGCTGGGCGTTGGGGGCGCCCCACACGTCTGAGGCCCCCGGAGCATTCTGTGGGGAACAGGAACTTCATAGCTCAGAGAGGAGGGAGAGGAACCAGGGACGCGTTCTGTACCCCGAGCTGCTCAGAGGCCGGCAGCTCCAGGCATCATGGAATTCATGAAAAGCCTAGAAAATTCCAGAAGAGGGGTTTGTAAGAGGGTCTGCAGGGCAAGGTGGGGTCGCTGAGGCCGTCCTGGCTGGAGAGCCCGGCGGCAGGTTTGCCCCATCTCGCTGGGAGCCCTGGGGAGTTCCCACCCCTGGAGCCAGGGCCTCCTGTCTGGGGGTGCCGGCGCCAGCCCTGGCCAAGCTTGGCTCGGCCATCGGTCTTCCCCGTGATGGAGCCTCCTTTTCAAGGGACATCGCACACGGAGTTTGATCATAAGCTTGTTAAAGCAATATTTTATGAGGTGGATTCAGTTCAGAATTCCAAATCGATAACGTGTCTTGAAGAGGCACCTGCTGGGAGCCGGCGGAGGCTCCGGAGGGACCCGAGCGGGAAGCCAGGCGTGGGCCCCGCCGCCAGCCCGCCTCCGTTTTCTGCTTTGGATGAAGAGAACTGAGCGCATCTGGATTCCCAGGGCCTCGCAGCCCCATTACCATTTTTAAGCAGCCGCTCTGTCGCCCAGCCCTGCGCAGAGTCTGCGCTGCAGGGGCTTAAAAGAGACGCGGCTGCCGTTCCATGTCCAGCCGGAGTCGCTGACGCAGCTGGTCTGGGCGCTGCCCTCCCTCACCGGCAGCTTCCAGGCCACAGGGCACTGACCCTGGCCCTGGGCACCGCCCTCACCCAGGACCCGCCTCCCCTTGGCCCTGACCGTGGCAGCAGTGACCCTGTGCCCAGCAGGTGTGCCCCACCCAGCCAGTGCCCAGCGCCCAGCAGGTGTTCAAAACGTCCTTGTCCCCTCTCTTGTCCCTGTTCAAATGGGCCGATTTTTTTCCCCTAATTTTTAAATTTTTTTTAATTGCAAAGGATCTCTGTGAGCATTTTTACTTGCGTCACGCCCTCTCAGGTGACTCCTGCCATCGTCACATCTGCCTCGAGGACTTGGCTCATCTTGCAAAACAGACTCAAGGCCCATTAAGCACGAGCTCCCCCCCCTCCAGGTGGCCCCTGGAAGCCCCCTCTCCTGTCTCTGTGGACTTCCTCCCAGGGACCCCTGCTGTAGAATCGTGGGGTCTTTGTCCCCTGTGACAGCCGTACTCCACCCTGCAGTGTCCTCAAGGCTCACCCCTGTCGTACCGCGGGTCCGAATCTTCTTCCCTTTTAAGGCTCAATAATGTTTTATTATTTCATCCAATTTCATCCACGACAAGGCAAAGAGGCTGTCTTGCTCCCAGTCCCTGCCAAAGCCCCGAAGAGAGGCGGGTGCTGCAGAGGGAGCCTGAGGTGCCACGCAGTTGGAGCCTGTCCTGCACTGTGGATGGGGGACCAGGATGGAGGCTTCACCACAGGGTTGCCACGAGGAAGAATGAGCCAATGCAGGAGGGCTCCCAACGAGGGTGCACACAGCAGGCGCCCCATAAGTGTCTGTGGGCACACAGCAAGCGCTCCATAAGTGTGTGTAGTTATCCCAAGTGCACTCTGGCAGGTCCAGAACCCTGACCCTCCTGCACAGCGCCTGGTGTGAGCAGAGCCGGCTGAGGGAGGGCACATGGGCTCTGTGGAGGATGGCCATTGGGGGTTCCCCACATCCCTCACTAACCCTTGGGGGGGCCTGTTTTGTGCCCCATTTGACCGAGGAGGACCCCAAGGAGGGAGGCGACATGGACTGGGTGGGCTGATGTGAGAGCCTGGTGACTGAGTCTCTCTCCCCCTCAGGGCACAAGGAGCAGGAGGCCCTTCTGGAAGGGACTGTCCCTGTGGGAGGCTGCGGCGGTGGGCGGGGACTGGTCCCACCTCCGAGGCACACGGTTTTTGTTGCAGAAGTTTCCAGCCCTGACCGGGCTCCCGGCTGGCCCAGGATGGCTCCGAGAAGTGGGTCTCAACAGCAAGTTCCCCCGGGCCAGGGAGGGCTGTGGGCAGAGCCCATCCTGGCTTCCGGGGGAGGACAGGCTCCCCTGGGCAGGGGACGAGGGACGGCCCACTTTGCCTTGAAGGGGTGCGGGCTCTGGGGGGTCCCTGGCTGGTGTCCTGCAGCTCCCGGGGAGCTGGTTCCCAAGGCCGGGGCCTGGAGGGAGGGTCCTGGGCTCCAGGTGCAGGCGAGCAGCAGCCTCCCCAGGGACTTGCTAACTGGAAGTGACAAGCTCCAGAGAGGGGAGCAGGTGGCACTTCATCTGCTCCGGTGACAGGAGGACGCAGCTCTGAGCTCCTCTGTGGGGCCCTGGGGCCCCAGGGAACAAAAGCAAGGGGTGGGGCTGCAGGGTGGAGGAGCTGGGGGAGCTAAGGGCTCGAGCCAGGGCGGGGCGGGGCGGGGGGCAGGGCCGGGGCCGGGAGGGAGTTCTCTGGGAAGAGCCCGGGCAGCAGAAGGCTGGCCTTGACCCTGGCGCAGACGCCTGGCCCCCGGCAGCATTTCATCCTGCTGCCCACCTACGTCCCGCTGCCTGCAGCACTGAAGCAGCCTGGGCTGGACGCTGGTGTCAGGGGGCTGCATGCAATGGCTGACGCTGATACGATTGCTAACAGGAAGGGAGTAGGGCTGCTGACCTCTGTGGTGGGGACTGAGGGCCGTCCACGCTGTATCCGGCCTCCAGGAGGCAGTGATGGAACGTACTGGGGGGGACGCACCTGGTGGGCACATCGGGTCATCCAGGGTGACAAAGGAGTTAGACTCAGACGGTGCCAAAGCTGAGCCCCAGGACTCTAGAAAGAAGTCTGACCCTGACCAGGACTGGCCTCCCTGCCTCCCTGGATTTGCCAGGCCTGCAGGTGCCCTGGCCTCTGCCCTCTGCCCCTGCCTTCCAGCCCTGCCTGCCCTCGCTGCAGCGCACCCCTCAGAGGGGCCTCGTGCCCGCCCACCCCATCTCCCTCTCCACGCTCACTCTGGGACCCTTCTTGGGGGTCCAGGCCCCTGTCCATCGACTGATTTGCTTCCTCTTGTCCATCTTCTGCTGACCCTGACGTGGGCACAGGAGTTCCTGAGAGGTAGGAGTTCTGTCCAGGGTGCGGCCACCCTGGCCAGGCTCAGGGCCTGACCTGCAGCGGGCACTAGGAGAGAGCGGCTGAGCGAGTGCCCTCCGCTCCTTTACTGTGGGCAGCCCTCGTGGCTGGGAAGGGCTCCTTGTGGCTGCTGAAATGCCGACTCCCTGAGTCAGAGGCTAGGCTGTGCCAGGACCTGGAATGTGAGTGTCACTGTCCCCTCGCTCATGACTTGAGGTCGGCCGTGAAGAGCCGCCTGCCTCAGTTTCTTCGAGGGCTTGGAGTACCCCAAGGCTCCCTGACCAAGTGCAGGAAGGCTCACACCAGAGGTCAGCCCCGGGTCCTGCTGGCTATCAGTGACCTGCTGTGTGGCCTTGGGCAGGATGGATTCCCTCTCTGGGACGCACCTTCCCAAAGTGCATCAAAGCTGATGCACTGGGAGGCCCTTTTGGAATGTGGGGACCAAACTGATGTTCCCAGTGTTGGCCTGGGGTGTCACTACCATGGTGACGGAAGGCCCCTAGTCAGGGGCAGAAGCAGCAGGGCCAAGGCACTTCCCCTTGCCCTCAGCTGCTCGCCCAGGCCCACTAGGAGCGGCTGCCCGCCCTCCTGGGGACACGAGACCCTCCGGCTTGTACCATCCAAATCCACACTTCAGCTCAGGAGGACGACCCCGAGGCCCGGGACAGGTGTCCCCAGGTATCACAGGAGACGTGCCTCAGAAGGAGCACCCTGGGGTCAAGACGCCTGGGAGTTCACCCTGTGCCCCTCCCAGGGCCCCTGTGTCCCTGGGCCTGCCAAGACCACCACCCCTCTCTCTGCAGTGTCCCTCCCTCTTAGGAAACGATCCTGTGGGACACGGACTCGGGTGACTGAGCCCTGTGCCCTGTGGCCTGGCGCACAGTGAGTGTCCAGGAGACCTACCAAAGTCCCAGGAAAAGGCCGCTCTTCCAGATTCAGGGGCCGCAGAGCCCTCTGCCATGAGCATCTGCTGAAATGCCTAAAAAAATGTCTGTTTCCAGGGGGACCTTCCAGCTGTACCGTCAAAACAGGGCTCTGTGACACTCGGAACACGGCACAGGACAGTCCTCACCGCTCACCCAGGGGCCAGACCGAGCGGCTACTGAGGCAGAGCGTCTTCCACACGTGTGAACCGGAGCCCGTCAGGCCCTGGAGACTTGTCCATGGCTCTCCCTCCTCAGCCAAGGCAAGACCCCCACGGCCAGCGGGATGTGACCCCTCCTGCCCTGCCCCAGCCAAACCAAACCACTCGCTCTACTGGTGGCCCCTGGTCAGAGTCCCTGGTCTGGGCATTGAGGGACAAGTAGGAATGTGCCCGGTGGGAGAGGGTCCTGTCCAGGCCCAGGAGGGAGCAGCTCTCCTCCCAGTGGCTTGCAGCCAGAGGCGGCAGGAGCTGGCCTTGCCCACGGTGGCCCGAGCCCCACAGGCCTGGCTCAGGGCCTGGCACACCCTCGTGGTGTGGCTGTCAGAGTGGAGCATGGGCACACACCACCTGCGACAGCCTGCAGCTGCCCAGGGAGAGGAAGCCAGGCCCGTGCCGGGGACGCCCCAGACCTGGCACGAGTCCCGCCCCCGCTCTTAGCAGGCAACATCTGCCAAGGAAGTTGGGCTCCTTCGCTGACACAGTGGGAATGCCATCCTGTCCCGCCTGCCCCCAGGACGTGGGAGGTTGGACAGCGTGAAGGGGAAGCCCTTGGCAAACTGGAGAGTGCTGGGCCAGGCGGGAGCCCCTCCCAGGCAGCGGCTCTCGGCTGTGATTCCAGTGCTGGCTGCAGAGGGTCTTGGGCTCCGACCCCCTCAGCAGCCTGGGCCTCCGTTCTGGCAGGGTTTCCAGGCCACGCAGGGTCGGCCTGGAGCGTGGACGGCCAGCCGGGGTTGCTGAGCCCACGGATCTGACGGGTTCCTGGCCGGGGCTCATGTCAAGAAGGCCCTGGGGTCTTCCTCCGCTCTTCCCGATACCTGCTCCAGGACTCCTGAGACACGAGGTCGGGGAGGCCAGGCTTGTAGCGGCTGGCAGAGGGGGTGGGCAGGGGGCTCACCTCACAGCATTCAGGGAACCGTGGGGTCTGCTTGAGGGGCGGCCGGGAGACTCCCAGGTGCTTGAGTCCATCTCAGCCCCCAGAGCCCCAGAGCCCCTCCTTCCTGTCCCACTCCCCGGCTGGCCCTGTGGCAGGCAGTTAGATGGCCCAAGTACCCCTGGGTGGCCCCCCTCAGCTTCCTGGCCCAGTAGCTGCTGGGGTCCTTGTGGCCTCCACTGGGGCCCAGGGACCCCCCTCGCAGCCTGCACCCCCACCTCTGCTTGCCCACTTGAGGCCTCAGACCACCCCAAGCCGCCACCTCCTTCTAGCCTTGGTCTTGAAGGCCGGGGTCCTGGTTTCCATAGCAATCCCTGGGCTCGGGAGGGCAGGGCGTCCTCTGGATCAGTGCTGGCTGGGCCACCCCCACCTCTGCCCGGGATTGGGGGGGTTCATCCCCAGGGAGCCCCCTGCCCCTCCACCACTCCACCAGGCTCCCAGGGGAGGGGGCCCAGGTCCCTGGGAGCCACAGGAGAGGGCTCTGAGGAACAGTGTCCAGTGAGAAGCACAGCACCCGGGCAGACCTCTGTCCTGCCCTGGGTCCCCGCCTGCCTGGCCACAGGCCCGGGGAGGGAACTGTTGGGCCTCAGGGTCAGCAGGTGCCAGGACGTTGGTTGGATCCACAAGATGACTCAGTCACGGTGGGCTCGGGGGCCACTAGACGTGTGCCATCTGGACAAAGGTCTTGTCCCCCACCCGGCAGCCTTCTGGCCTCCGCACCCTGACGTCAGCACCACCTCCCAGCAGGACCCGTGAGGCAGAGCTGCATGGGTGGCCTGAAGTCCAGGGCCCCGGACAGTCGCAGAGTGCGCAGGTCCCGGGGGCCAGGGCGGCCGCTCTTTTCCTCACCTCCTTCCTGTACCTCCAAGGCCACCCCTGCCACAGCCTCCCCGGCTCAGCTGCGGGGAGTTAGGCGTCATGGTCCCTGCTTGGCGGGGCCGGAGATGGGGCTCCAGGATGCTGCAGGACCTGACCAGGGGCATGGCCTCTCGCTCCGGGGCTCAGAGCTGCCGTGGAGGGCACAGCAGGCGACACGGGGGGCACTGCCTGGGGGTCCAGGGGGGCCTGGGGCCAAGGAGCAAACACTGCTGAAAACTCAAGGGCACATCCCCGGGTCCAGGTCACACTGTGTCACTGTGACCTCAGCCACAGCCACCTCTGTGAGTAGTGAGAGAAAGCCCTCTCCAGAGGGTAAGGCAGTGTAGACGGCCAGTGTAGACCACACTCCCAGAGGAGGTGGTGAGATTCTGGGTGGGGGTTTCCCTTCTTTGGGGCCCCTGAGCAAGATGTGAGGTAGTGGGCAGAGCCAAGTAGGACTGGGCAGGATCTCCCTACCCCTGCCGTGCCCAGTCCGGAGCCGGGCACCCTCCGTCTGCTTCCTGAGCTCCTGGGCACCCTCGTTCCCCGCACCCCTCCTGGTGGTTCACCCTGAAGGGCTGCCAGTCCAGGTCTGCTCTTGGGCATCCAGTGGCCAGCGCCTCCCCTGCCTGGAGCGCTGTCCCCGGGGTCAGCAGAGGCTTCCTGTGGGCAAGGCTGGGCTGAGCAGCCGGGAGCTGCTGGATTCAGCCTGGTTTGCTCTGAATGACCAGAGAAGGGAGAGCAAATGACCCAACTGCCCTGGGCAGCAAGGTGATCAGGCCGGGGGGCCACACACGGCACACGTCAGCCAGGAGGCCCCCGGGCCCCTGCCCTCCCCGCCACCACCCTGATTTCCACGCCCAGGCTTCTCTCCGCGGCTGCGCAGAGGATCATGTTCTAGAACCCTGCAGGGTCCCCTGACCTGGTTGACAGTTCCCTTGAAGGACCCGACAGTTTAGCTGCAGAACGTGATCCACCGGAGAGCGGCACGTTCTGGTCCCAGGGCCACCAGGCTGCTTCCCGCCAGCTCTGGGGGCCGAGGCACTCGCTCCAGCCCGCTCCGCTGCTGACAAGCTAAGTGGCCACCCGGGGCGGGGACCAGTAATTCAGCTTCTGTGAGGACGCCTGGGAGGCGGCAGGATGTGACGGGTTCTCAGCAACGAGGGTTTGGGGAAGAGCAATTTCGAAGCAGCCTCAAAGAGAACCAGGTGATTTCCCTGCATTTCTCGGCACGGCTTCCTGGGGGAGTTGGTGGCAAGGACTGTCCTCTGCAATCTTGTCTGCAGAGGGACCCGGCCCTGTGTGGAGGGGGACGGGGCGGGGCCATGAAGGAGGGGCACAGCCACTGTCCACCCTCAGGTCCCTCCACACACACACACACACACACACACGCCCCGTCCTACTTGCTGTTGGACTCCTGGACACCTGCCCTGGCCACAGGGGTCTATCCACCTGGACGCAGGTGTCCACCCTGCTTCTGTGGCCGAGCTCGCCTCCTCCTCCTTCGAGTTCAATTCTAAGGTCACCTTCGAGGGGGGGGCGTCACAGTCGCCCTGGCCGGGTGACCCTCCTCCTCCTCTGCGTTCTCAGTAGCCCTCTCTGAACAGATGCCTCACATCACAGAGCGCTGAGCACGGTGCCTGTGTCCCCCCCAGGGAGCCCCCATCCCCCCCTGCTCCACCCCCACACGGAGGTGAGCCCAGGGAAGGCTGCGTGCCCTGCCAAGAGCCAGGCTGCACTTCACCACCAGCCGCCTCCCCAGAGTGCCTCTCAGAGACCAGGTGACAAGGCCACCCACAGGGCCCTCCGTGGCTGGCCAGACAGACACCCTCCTCCACCTGTCCACAGCCTGAGCCTTGGAGCAGAGGGGCTCCTGGCCAGCCCTGGAGGCAGACCAAGTGCTGTCACCCTGGGCTTGCAGGAGAGGAATGGACAGGGGAGGGGAGGGGAGAGGAGGGGAGAGGAGGGAGGAGTCACTGGGGAGGCAGGGAGGAGGAGGAGGCTGGGGAGTCAGGGGAGGCAGGGAGGAGTCACTGGGGAGGCAGGGAGGAGGAGGAGGCTGGGGAGTCAGGGGAGGCAGGGAGGAGGAGGAGGCTGGGGAGGCAGGGAGGAGGAGGAGGCTGGGGAGGCAGGGGGAGGAGGGCCTTTGCTCCTGTGATGGAGGCCAGGAAGCTGGGTCTTGGCACCCTTTCCTCTATTCTTGGGACTGTGAAGCAGGGCCCTGTCCAGCCAGGGACTCTGGGAAAGTCTGGAATCTTCCTGAAATTGAAATCTCTCAGGGGGTTGGGATGGTGGAGCCTCGGAGCCTGTCAGGTTGGCCCTGAGCCCTGGGGAGCAGCAGGTGGCCAGAGGCCCAGACTCCAGGCCCAGAGAGCTCCAGAACTGTTACCCTCAGCCCAGAGGGCCATGTGCATGGGTTCCTCTGGGTGTCCCAGATGTCCCCTGTCCCCTGCACCTGGTACTCTGGCCACGTTCTCCTGGAGACCCAGGGCTGCTGTCCAGGCCCTGGTTCTGAGCTGCTCGTGAAGACGGGCCTCAGGGGAAGCATCAGATCTGGGCCCAGCCCCGCTCTGCCTTGGACTGTTTTGCCGTGGACAAGTGGCCTCTGGGTTTCTGATTCCCCCATTCAATGACATCCTGGGGGTGACGTGTCTGCACAGAGCCTGAAAAGTGGCTTGTGGTGTGTGGAACCTTCTGGTCCTTCTCCTGCGGCACCCCTGGTTGCTGGGAGGCCTCATTAAAAGCCAGCTGAGGACACAAGGGGGACCCTTGAGGCCCCTGGGTGATGCCGGTTTCGCTTCCGACACTGATTCCGACACTGAAGGTCAAGCAGGAGCTAACCAGGTGGGAGGCACCTGCGGGTTCCACTCATCTGCTGAGCCTTGGTCAACACCCCCTCTGGGAAGCCCTCCTGCCCCCGCCCAGGCTGGGCTCCCACTCTACAGCTCCCGTCCCTGTACCAGACTGGGCGTGGCTCCTCTGTGTCCCCAGTGCCACCCAGCCTTGGGTGTGGGGTTCACAGAGGGGCTGAGGGGCGGCAGGCCCAGCCTGGAGCGTGGCAGAGCCGAAGGGCTCACTGGTGCCTCTGATGTTGCTGTGTCCAGGGGCAGGTGACCCCTGCGGTTGCCACAGGATGAGGCCACTCCAGACAGGACTTGGAGCGGGCAGCGTTGGGGATGCCATGGAGCAGGAGCGGCTGGGCTCAGCTGTCTTTCTGGAGGAGGGATTTTTTCCTTAGTCTGTCGACTTCGTCCTTAGCTGGTCCCCAGAGCTCTGCCAGTGCCTCTCGGTTGGACGGGCAGCGGCTGCCTGGCTGCCAACGTGAAGTGGCACTGTGCCCAAGGCGCTCCTCCTGCCCCTCCTTTCCCTGCCTCTGCTCAGAGCAGCATGAGTCCCCGACTTGCCCCAGGACGAGGGCCGATCAGCTCCACCGTGGAGACGCCGCCTGGAGCCCAGGAGCCACCGGGCAGCGGGACTCAGCTCCCAGGCGCCCCTGGGGTCAGAATAATAAAGCCGTGAACATCAGAAACCCAGGCCAGCTCTGTGCCCGAGGCTGGGAGGGCAGCCAGTCTGGGGCCTGGGGCCAGGTGTGGCCCTCCCTGGACCTCAGCTTTCTTCGTCTGTAAGAGGGGTGGGTCACCCATGTGCTGACCTCATAATCAGGGTCACACGTACGGTCCCGTGGAGTGTTTGGCACACAGTGGTGCTTAATAAATGTTGAACACTATTCTTTTCATAATCCGATGCCCATAAGGTATCATTGTCTCTGTCACCAGCTGGCCATGGTGACCTCAGATGAGCCTCAGAAACCCACAAGGCTAGTCACGAGCGTAGCTGCACCTCCTGTGCCTTCGGGGCTTTTGTGAAGACAGGGAAATCCCCCCAACTCTCGTCCCCCAGGCCAGCCCACACAAGTTCACAGGCCCAATTTACACTTCCAGCCTTGTCTGCAAAAGCCTGGCCGAGCTAAGGACTTGGACTAAAATGGTTTTCTCCACCTTCTCACAAACAAACCCAGATCCCCCCCTAGGGGACTGAGATAAAGTTCTGAGGACCATGAGCACCATACCCACGGGAGTCCCCAGACACACAAAGGTGCAGGGCCAGGAGCAAGAACCAGTAACTAACCAAACCAAGCCCAGCCTCCAGACCAGAGGGTTACAGAAGCCAAAGGAGGGCGGTGAGTGAGGAGCAAGAGATCCTGAAACCAACCAGGGCAGATTTGAAAAAGAATGAAATAGAATTTCCAGAAATGAGTTAGACAGTAATTGTGTAGATTGATGCAATTACTTTAGAAAGCAATTTGTCATTAGTCAGTAAATGTGAAGATGAGCATACCCAGGCCTTCTCCGAGTATCCCAGGAGACGGGTGCCAGGTGTTTCTGGACGTACTGTTTGTCATAGCGAAAGAAGGAAATGCAACAGCAGAGTGGCCTGGTCCCCGGGGCCTGGCTGGCATGGTGGCTCGCTCCCCACGCTGGTGGGAGGGTGAGCTGAGCTCGGGGACTCCTGGTGGGGCTCTGTGCCCAAGGCCTCCTTTGCACTAGGGTCCTTGGAGCTGCCTGGGCGCAGGGCCTCTGATCTCTCTCCTGCCCTCAGCTCTGGGCAGGGCACAGGGCGGGATGGGTGGACGTGCTGGTGAATGGATGAGTGGATGAATGAAGTAACGGCAGGTGGCTCTGCCATCACATCCCCCGGGAGCCTGGGCCTGCATCTGGTCCCCAGGCGTCTGGCTCCTGCTTCCCGGGAACGTGGAAGGCATCCAAGCCACATGGTTGTCTGGGGCTACAGACAGAGCTGGCCTCCCTGAGCCAGGGCAGCCCGCTGCCCCTTCCCCTGATCACATGTGCCCCACCCTGTCCTCACCTCCCCAGCTACTGTGTCCCAGGCGGCCAGTGCTGCCCCCTCTGAACAAGGTAAACTTGGCGAATGACTCAAACGCTCTCAGCCAAAATCTGCTCATTTGCATAAGGCAGGAAGGAACACCTCCCTGCAGGCTGTTGGGAACCCAGACCTGGTGCCATCTTACGGCTAAGGCGGCTCTGTGTGCGGGTGCAGGCTG